TTCAACTAATGCCGACTATTTGTTTTCAAAGAAAATGCTGTTCTGACTTCGTAATCGAACAGCAAGCAGACCAAAATCTAATCACCAATTGCTTAGGAAGATCAAATGACACTTTAGTTGAATTTAATCAATTTCTGTTGCATAAGTGACACTTTAATTCCGTGAGGCATGAACACATGATTGCTGATAATCATCCTAATTTACACAACGTCTTTAATCATAATTACGCTGCAATTAGCAGATATTTCATTTTTAACCATTTTTATATCATTAACAATTTGGAACTGCATGTTTTTGTTTTTAAATCGGTTTTAGAGCCATTGTATTACATAGGACGGAAGCATTATTTAATTAACATGCTTAGAATATCCATGCGACTTTGTATTCAAAGGAGATTCATCAGAGTAAAATCGGACACTAGGCCTGTAATGAAAATAAACATGATATATCATAATTCTGTTTGTATACTTTGGGCATTCGTTTTAGGGAAATGGTGTCAAATTTATGTAAATTATTTACCTCAGTTGTTGAACATAGTCATACATATTTAATGAAATATTCCTCTTTAATTTGTATCTTATATAAATTGATGTTAAATAGCACCCAGTGGGCAAATATACCAAACAAAATTATAACCTGCTTGTGCTTATATACATAATTCAAACAATTTTAACACGTCCAAATTTCTTTCATCTCGTCTGAAATCAATAAAAATATTGAGTTTGATCAGGTCAATATACTCTATAAACAATGCCGTGCTATTTAAAAAAGGGTCATCACATTTGATTTTAATACATTTAAAAGGTTTTACTTACACCCAGATACATCAGTTGAATCCGATCTTAAATGCTATTTGTACAAAATCATTATTGCATTATATATTCAATGCAGTAAAATGATGTAATACTATGTTATACAGGTATTTGTTTATATATTGTCATGATTCAATACCAAATGCAAATCCTTTCTTTAGTTTGCACATTTCTATGTCTTCACCTGTGCTTATTAGCAATGCAATTTTGCATGAGAAGCATTTTTAAGCCGTGCCATGACAAAACCAACATAGTGCGTTTGCGACCAGCACGGTTCTAGACCAGCCTGCGCATCCGCGCAGTCTAATCAGGATCCATGCAGTTCGCAATCAGTTTCTCTACTTGTAATAGGGTTTGTAAGCGAATATCATGGATCCTGTTCAGACTGCGCGGATGCGCAGGCTGGTCTGTATCCGTGCTGGTCGCAAACGCGTATTATGCTGTAACCCGTATTCAATTCAATTTTCATTGAACAAGATCAAGTTTGATAAACAGAAAAAAAGCTTGAATCGTACAAAGTGTCGTCAGTCATTAAACCCTTTACAACTGAATGCATCATTACAGCTGTTTTAAATCATCATTGCTAAGATACGTTTTTAGATATCATTACAACACCGTTTAGACCGTCTGGTTTTTATGTTTTTTGTTGTCAAGGCTCACGTTATATTTTAGTAAAGATGACAATTAAGGACGCGACAAATGACACATGTGGATAATGTTCTAAGTGCTTCAAAGAGATTTGCTTTTATTCTGCACGAAATTTTTCTACAATGATAGTGCTGAATGGTTGCAGAGCAGAGTAAAACATCAGAATGAAACGCTATAATTATCGCAATAACCACTTTGAATTTGATATAAAATTGTTTGAAGTCCCTGCAAGCTTCAGCTGCTATATCTTGATAAATAAACATGCATGCATTCACAGGCATAATGATGAAGAAACAAACAAACATTTACAAAAACAACTACAAAAACACACACAGATATTCAGTAAAATTAATGATTGAATGTTGAGATTGCTTAGAAGCAAATCACTGTTTTTGCGCGGTCAATTAACATGATAGAACATGTAACAGATGTTAAGTGACATTGTTCTTATAGTTTCGTGTTAAGTTAAATTTTTAAGTAGATTATTATAATTTGATCTGACAAAAATTGATCATTCAAATACAGAATTCCAAACTGCCCAAAGCATAAAAGGACTGTCCCATTCTTTAATCAATTAATTATAACTGATTATTCCCGGAGAATAATTTAAATGATATGTTTAAGTCACGTAGGTTATTTTCTTTTATTCTTGTAAAGTAGAGTAGCAGTAAAATATAAAATGAAAACAATCGACATGGCAAAATGTGTATTTATTATGGCTTTTATATGACTTTTATCTTTTAGACTCATGAGTTTCGCTTGGATTGTAAGAATGCACTTCAACAGTCATCAATAGATGGTCCACGGTGATTATTCGAGTGTTCACTTTTATACCCCTCTTTTCTTTAAATAACCTGAGATCATTAAATAGTTTTATCTTTTCAATGACATAAACACAAACCCAATTTCATAAATACTAAGTTTGTCCTAGAAATTCTTACAATCTTTAAGAAGTTTTAAAATATGATCTGCATTATTTTTATGTATTTCCAACACAACAATTCTCATTTGAAATTGTTTATAGAAATGTGTAAAAATTA